AGCTTACCGTTTACTTCGGTGGCCCTCGCGGCAAGGCCATCCGCCAGAACTACATGGCCATGACCTTCGAGACCGTTGCCGCCGATGGAAGCATCAAGTCTGAGCGCATCTTCAAGGAGATTGACGAGAAGACCACCTCTTACACCTACCGCTCGCCCACTGGCCTGCTGTCCGCCACACAATTCACTCAGCCTGCCCTTACCCTCATGGAGAAGGCTAGCTTTGAGGACATGAAGTCAAAGGGTCTTGTTCCCCGTGACTGCACTTTCGCTGGTCACTCCCTGGGTGAGTACTCTGCCCTCGCCGCCTTGGCCGAGGTCATGCCCATTGAGAGTTTGGTGTCGGTCGTCTTCTACCGTGGCTTGACCATGCAAGTCGCTGTCGAGCGTGACGCCGCTGGCCGATCCAACTACTCCATGTGCGCCATCAACCCGAGCAGAATCTCCAAGACTTTCAACGAGGAGGCTCTGCAGTTCGTTGTCGACTGCATCTCTGAGGAGACTGGCTGGCTCCTTGAGATTGTCAACTACAACATTGCCAACATGCAGTACGTGGCTGCTGGTGACCTGCGCGCGCTCGACACCCTCACTGGCGTCACCAACTTCCTCAAGCAACAGAAGATTGACATTGAGGAGATGCGTGGCAACATCGACGAGGCCAAGGGTGCTCTCAAGGAGATCATCAAGGGCAGTGCCGAGGCTACCCTCAAGAAGCCCACGCCCCTGGAGCTCCAGCGTGGCTTCGCAACGATTCCTCTCCGCGGTATCGATGTGCCTTTCCACTCGACCTTCCTGCGGTCTGGCGTCAAGCCTTTCAGATCGTTCCTTCTCAAGAAGATCAACAAGACGACGATCGACCCTGCCAAGCTTGTCGGCAAATACATCCCCAACGTGACAGCGAAGCCTTTCGCCATCACCAAGGAATACTTTGAGGATGTTTACAAGCTGACCAACTCGCCCAAGATTGCTCAAATCTTGGCGAACTGGGATCAGTACACCCAGGACGGCCCTGGCCCCAACGGAGTCAACGGCCTCGCTGGTGAGCATGAGGGCCCTGGTGCCGCAGCATAAGCTGTGTATGCGCACTTGACAGAAGGAGCAATCGGGCTACGGTATAACGAATGATAAAAAGAAGGAGGAGGGCATTGAATGACTCTAGACGGCGTAAGCGTTGTACAAATTAGGGATGGGGTTTCTTGATGACTGTTTTATCATGCTGCGTTTTAGAAAGCTTTGTGTTTGGTCATTACATGAAATGTTTGGGGCGTTTATTATTCTAGAGTTTTAATTGTGGCACAAGAAGAGAAATAGAGCAACCAAGGTTCAACAAGCTGTGTAAAGTTTCCGAGAGGCGTGTGATAAAATGTCCGATGGCATTGCTTTGTTTGACGGGCAAACAAGGCAGAGGGTGATACAATGACTGATGACTGGAAAGCTAGTGGCAGCTGGCAAGCACAGCAGCTATTTTGACAGCGGGGATCTACGAAGAGTGACTGCAGGGACCCGGAACACTGATGCTTCTCCCGACTGGCGCAGCATGCGGACGGAAGGGCGGGACGGGTTCGACTACCCGTCTCGAGGGGAAGATGAGAACATTATGACTTTGGGAAGAGTCGGAATGGCGGTGGAGCACCATTTGGTTTTGTGATAATGAGCCTATCCAAGAGTGTCCCAAGAGTAAGACATGGTCATGCCGTGCCGCCCCGACGAACAAAGGATGCTTATCAAACTTATCAGGCGGTGGCTTGAATAGATCGAGGGGTGACTTGGAAGGGCTGAGGAACGGGGGTGATGTGGATTGGAAGAGCTATGGTGGGAATGCTGGAGAGCTATCCGGATGGAGTCAAGCCGAGGGGGATGAGAGCTGCGGTCGGCCAGCGGCGAGCGCCGTACGACGTGCGGCCGGTGCGCTGCGAAGTGGGGGGGCGGGGCGCGCATTGGTGGTGTTTGGCAGCAGTTTGGGGTCGCAGTTCCGTACCTCGAGAAGACTGGTATGCAATTGTAACCCAACAAATCCCAATTCCAGACTTTTGACTAATGCAGTTTTGTTCCTGTTGTTGGTTTAGGTAGTCACATCCAGCTACGCTCAGAGAGGAAAGCTTCTTTGCTTTGACACTTAGTCCCGTTGAGCCGGGCCCATCCCCTGTCAATCAGTCCGTCTCCGTATTCCGCGTCTTATCTCTTGGAGGGGTAAATTGGGGGGTACCGGTAGCATCCTGGGGAGACCCGAACGTGGAAGGAGACGGCCGCCGGGCGAACTACGTTTACCTTGACCTTGACAAAAAAGGACGAAGCACATGCTTTCTTTGGCTTCGCGTCATCTGTTGCACCGCATATATCTACCGTGTCCCCCTTCTCTTCCTTTTCTTTTCCCTTCGCTTTGCTTTTGCGTTTGAAGAGAGGGGTTTTGGGAAACTTGAACCGAAGAGACGATACCCATCTTTTACCTTTTCTGCCTTACCTCACTTACCTCATCCTCTCCGTACCACCTTTTGCAACGTTCATCCCGTGACTGCTGTCCTTTGAGGGCATTGACCCAGCAATTGCCATTCCGGTCCATCGTTCTGTGGTATCCTCGGTGAGAGGGAGTTGTCAGCATTAGCGATCACCTGCGCCTTTTGAAGCACACGGGGAATTGGAAACAAAGAAGACGGAGAGATCAACGTGGTGGGGGTTTTCGTTTCAACCGCCCCCGACTCTGCCGACGACAACCGAAGACCGAAGACAGAGTATCCCGACGTCACGGCCACACCTGCGAACCAGTCGACTCAACCTGCGATTTCAACCCCATTCTCTAGAGAAGCTTCACATCGACTCTGGTCAAATCAATAGACGGATAGCAATAGCATAATGGGCGACATGATCCGGGACCTACCGCCCGCCGGCGCATCAACAACGGAGACTCCCACGCAAGCGCAGTCGCAGCCGCGCCATAAGCTCTTTCTCGGCTCCTTCATCCACTCAAAGACAAAGGAGCAGCTCGAGTACCTCCACGGCGCGGCCGTTTGCGTCGATGCCGCCGGAACGATTGTCGCTGTGGAAGCGGAGTGCGATTTGAAGAAGGCCGAGGCGGAGGTTCTGCCGCGCTTGGGGTGGGCAGTCAGCGATGTCGAGGTTTGTGAGGGCAAGGAGGGGCAGTTTTTCTTTCCTGGGTTCATTGGTATGTTCAGATTCTTTCTTTCTCTTCGTGCGCCCGGGATAATGATCATCTGTCTCGGGATGCTCTCCCGCCCGTAGTGAGACATCGTACCCAGAGCTAACCAACTCCACCACCAGATACCCACGTCCACGCATCACAATATCCCAACGTCGGCATCTTTGGCAAATCAACCCTCCTCGACTGGCTAAACACCTACACCTTCCCCCTCGAATCCTCCCTCGCCGACCAGAAAAAGGCAAAACGCGTCTACACGGCCTGCGTGAAACGCACCCTCGCCCACGGCACCACCACCTCGGCATACTACGCCACCATCGACGTCGCCGCAACGAACCTCCTCGCCGACATCTGCCTCGCCCTCGGCCAGCGCGCGTTCGTCGGGCGGGTATGCATGGACCGCGAAGGGTTGTGCCCGGACTACTACAAGGACGAGTCCGCGGCCGACTCGCTGCGCAAGACGAGGGAGAGCGTGGAGCATATCCGGCGGATCGACCCGGGCTTTGAGCTCGTCGCGCCGGTGCTGACGCCGCGGTTTGCGCCGGCTTGTTCGGGGGAGGCGATGAGGGGGTTGAGCGAGTTGCAACGGGAGTTGGATGTGCTCGCGCAGACGCATATCTCGGAGAACGAGGGGGAGATTGAGCTTGTGAAGGAGTTGTTCCCCGAGGCGGAGAGTTATACGGATGTGTATGACAGCCATGGGCTGTTGGGGGAGAAGATGGTGCTCGCGCACGCGATTCATTTGTCGGAGAAGGAGGCTGATACTATTGCGGAGCGGGGCGCGAAGGTGTCGCATTGTCCGTGTAGTAACAGCTCCATCACGAGCGGTGCGGCGAGGGTGAGGTGGTTGTGGGATAAGGGGATCGATGTCGGGTTGGGGACGGATATGAGCGGCGGGTATAGCCCTAGTATCCTCGAGGCGGCGAGGCAGGCTGCGTTGGTGTCACGGCACGTTGCGATGGGGCTGAAGGGGGAGGAGAAGGAGAGGGCCAAGTTGACGGTTGAGGAGGTGCTGTATCTCGGTACGAGGGGCGGTGCCAAGGTTGTTGGGTTGGGCGGGAAGATTGGCGGGTTTGAGGTTGGTTTGCAGTGGGATGCGCAGCTTATTGGGTTGCCTGTTGTCGATGAGGATGGAGAGCAGGAGGAGGATGGGAATGTTGATGTGTTTGGGTGGGAGAGCTGGGAGAATCGGGTTGCGAAGTGGGTGTTTAATGGGGATGATCGGAATACCAAGATGGTTTGGGTCAAGGGGCGGATGGTGCATTCGAGGAAGTAGATGACCAGAGGGTTGTTACGGTAGAAGGGAGGCATGAGATACATGGCGTTTGGTTAGTAACTTGTTTGCTGGCTGGTTTGATATCACATGGAGTAATGGACTACCTTAGATGTATAATGAAGCTCAGAGCTGCTCATCGAAATCCTTAATCACGAGTCTCTCGTTGTGAAAATTGCAGTGTAACTCAACTCGTCCAATCGGGCAATGCATGAGAAACCGGGACCTGATTGGGTGTATCTGAATGCCCATCAGATCCACGAGGGAGACGCGGTTCCTCCAATGAAGTCGGACTTGCCATATCAAGATCAGGCTGCGTCTTGCCAAGTAAACGCGCCCAACCGACGTCCCTCCCGACAACCCCGCCTTCTCTATATTCCCTTCTTCCCCTCCTCGTTCTGCCTCTCCCTGAGTGCTTCATCGTCAATCACTGCGTCTGTGTTCCCCGGCGTCGATCAACCGAACTGGTACCTCGGACGACACAAGATACCAACAACCTCTTGATTCTACCCTAAGGCACTCGAACTACCTACCTCACCGTACCGATTTGCCTTGCCGCCCGAAACGGCCAGCCATGTCTGGCCTCGAAGGCATCGCGGGCCTGAGCCTCGCCTGCAACGTCATGCAGCTCATCAGCTTTGGTCACGAGGCCATCTCGATCTGTCGACGTATCCACGAGAGCGGGTCCCCAGAGCCTGGTCTTTCAGAACACGCCGAGAATCTGAAAGCCGTGTGCGATGGATTGGAAACTTCCTTGGGCAAACGGCCGACGCCCGTTGCTACTGCTGCTCCCACTGCCGCTGCCACTAGAGCACCGACAATGGAGAAGCGACTTCTCGACCTTGCCGCCAAGTGTGTCAAGAATGCCAGAGATTTGGAGGAGGAAATGAAGTTTTTGTCTCCTAGTCAGCCAGGCAAACTTAGAGCGCTGGTCGCTGCGCCAAAGATACTGTGGCGGAAGAGGAGACTTGAGAGACTCAAGGGGAATCTGGATGACGCACAAAAAGTCATGGACACGTCGATTCTCGAGCGTCTGTTCGCCAGAGCAGAGAGTCTCTACAAAATGAACGAGAAAGGTTTCCTGGATCTGAGTCAGGAGCTCAAACAATTCATTGCAGACCATGCGGCTTCGAATAGCATCCTTCGAAATGCCATTGAGACACAAACGAAGGGAATTCAAGACCACGTCACCATGGAATCCTCGAAGACGCAGAATGAAATCAAGTCACACGTGTCCCTCAAGCTTTCTAGTCATGAGATTTCTATCAAGAATCATGTTTTATCATCTGTCCAGGATGTCCAGGATACTTTTTCACAGAGGATGACGTCCAGAGAGGACTCAAAGGCCAAAGAGCAGGCCTATCAGCAGCTTTTGAAAAGTCTAAAGTATCCTAGAATGAATGAACGAAGAAATCAGGTTTCGGAATCGCATCCAAGAACCTTTCGATGGATCTTCAGCGATTCGATGTATCTCAGCGACACAGAGTCGGATTATTCTACGGAAGGCAACTCTAGCGCATACAGCGATGAGCCCGTCAACGTCGAAACGTCTAGCATCAGGTCAGACGAGCCACCTGAGTTAGAGGACGCCTCTGGCAGTACCAGCTATGTCCTTGAGCCGATCGTGCTTCGTAAATGGGATAGCTTCGTGGACTGGCTGAAAGATGGCACACAGAAGATATACTGGATCAGTGGCAAACCCGGTTCAGGAAAAAGCACACTCATGAAGTATATCGAAGAGAACAGCAATACTATGGAGTACTGCGATTCAGAAATCCGTTGTATTTCTCACTATCTGTGGAAACCTGGTACTCTTATGCAGCAAAGTATCAAAGGCGTGCTCTGCTCTTTGCTTCATCAAATCCTGGACCTTAGGAAGAGCCATGCAATGCAAGTCTTGGGAAGACAGCCGAATCTATCAACGAAGGATGCAGACACAGACTGGACTGCAAAAGAACTTGAGAAAACCCTTCTGGATTTTATACGAGAGTCAACCTGCAAATACGTGGTGCTTCTGGATGGCTTGGATGAAGTTGCTGATACATCGGACGATGGAGTTGACCGACTTCTGGACCTAATTGATGAGCTTGTCTCCACAAATCAAGTCAAAGTCTGTGTTTCCAGCCGCCCTGAGCCAGCCTTGAAGCGCTTCCTTGAGAAGTATCCGATGCTCAAGATCCAGGATCTAACCAGTCGAGATATTCACTTGCTTACGCGAGAACGCCTTGAGGCTATGGGAATTGACCTCGAATATGGTGGGACGGATGATTTATCCGAACTTATCTGTGAAAAAGCTGAAGGGGTCTTTGTCTGGGTCGTTCTTGTCTTGAATAGTCTCAAACGAGGTCTCGACAACTACGATGATGTGGACACTCTTTACAGTCGTGTGGAGTCCCTGCCCAAGGACCTGACGAAACTGTATAAGGAGATGTGGTCCCGAATGAAGGAAGACAGCGACCTCTATCGAAGAAAAACAGTACTTCTTTTTTATATGGCCATGGAGTTCAAGACACACCGTCATCGTGTTCGTATCTGGGAACCTAACGCCAACCTTCTTGGTCTTGCCATTTCTACAGACGACGAGATGCTGAAGTCCTTCATGGTCGGTCAGGAGCTACCCGATATGGAATTACTCTGGCAAAAATGGCATCGCTTGGGGAAAAAACTACCAGCGATGTGTGCCGGGCTACTGGACATAACTAACCCCGAAGAAGCTTTCTCGTCCCTTAATGACTACGAGAGTAAATTCAAGCCTTGGGGCAAAACAGGCATTGGTTTTACACACCGGACAGCTATCGATTTTATTTGTAACAGCGAGGAGGGCAAAGATCTTTTTGGCCCTTACGTCCCTAAGCAAGATGACCTTCTTTCACGGGCGATAAAAACAGACCTGATGTTACGGCGTATCATCAACAGAACGTATATCACAACCACTGACACTCCTAACAAAACCTATTTGTCACTAAAATACGACACAAGCGGAGAGTTACTCCCGAGCTTTATCCCCTTCCAACATCTGGCCGAGATCTCACCACACCGAACCACACATAATCTGCTTTCGTTCACATATCAGTGTCTCGAAATCATAGGGCTGAACTTGGAAAATCGGGTATCAACACCAGACTTAGCGAAGGCGCATCATCATTTTTTAGCAGAAGCGTTCCTTCACACAGCAGCCGTCGACTGGGCTGAGGAAACACTGCAGGCAGCCACGGCAGGTATCGAAGAAGTGACTTTAGTAGAGTCGCTTGCTCTCCGAGCCGGGTGCGAACGCATTTTAGCTCCTGGCTGGATCGAATACGATGAAGCTGTTGGTCCGAAAGTCTTACTAGGAGGCAATTCTTCTCGGCTTTCAATGATTCAAAGAGTACTGAGAAAGTACTCGAATACCCGACGAGGGTTGAATGATAATATCATTCGACTACTTCAGCTGGACTGCTACAGGAATGTCTTAATGGCGTGGCGTTGTATTTTGGGTCACACTCTGGCTGTAATTTTGGGGTGGAAAAGCTTCTCCAAGCTCGCGGATGATGCAGAACGATCGCAATGGTGGACAGACATAGTGGAGGTCATTCATTCCTTCTTATCGGCAAATGTGCTGGAAGACTTAAATGGCCAAAAGTACATGATTTCCATCGGTCCGTCACACGGCCGAGTCAATGTCATATTAGAACATGACTCGCTGAAATCGACGCAAGGGGAAGTTGTTTTTGAAGTCAACGACGCTGCTATGCTAGCAGTCATTACTGAGACGGCTCAAAGCGTTCTAGGCTCAATTTCCCTAACGAAACTTCTGCTTACGCCAGGGTATTGTCCAATAGCGTCGCCAAAGCTTGTTGCCAATCAACAAGGATGGCCAGGAGGTTGGAGAATTTACAACGAGATTTTACAAGATGAAAGCATGGATGGGCAGCGACTACTCAGGCTGGTGTTAAGTGCGAATTTAGCAACCCTAGATCACTTGATGTCTGAATCTGGTGGGCCTACCATTCTACGGGTACGAAACATAGGTCCTCACTGGGTATTTTCCTCGGCGCTTCGAGCCATCGGTCATGAGCCTAGCACTGCAAATAAGGATTATGCATGTTATTACGTTGGTCCAAGAAGATGAAGGATGATCTAAGAAGATGGGGGGCTAGAGTAATGAGATAGGATGAAAGTAGACTCTTACCTGAAGACTATTGAACGGTTTCTCACTTACTATATTGCCTTCTGCATTTTTCCGGCATTGAGACCCGGGTAAAGTTTCCATTCTCCTCGTGTATAACGGTTCATAGCGATGCTGGGAAGACACGGCTTAGGAAGTCTGAATTAGTTAGGTAGTAACTGTGGCTCGGCTTCTTTGCACGCCTGAGTGTTGACCATTTCACAATCTTCCACCAGACTAAGTACACATGTTACACATTTCGTAGTAATAGATCCCTCTGAATTCACTTGTATCTGCTCCCTGGGGACCTTGGTAAGGATGACCTTCTGTCTGTATAAGCTTCACAGCCACTGGAGTTCTTGAACCCGAACTCACGTGTGTCGTTATTGAATCCTGAGAATGACATTCAAGTCGTACGTTATCTTGATCCTCAGCGTGGATCACATTGCTTGTGAACTGCATTAGGGTTGCTCCTGGTCTGATCAAGTAAATCATATTCAGTTTGCACATGGACGTCGTTCAATTTCAAGATGAAAGAAACACTCAGCGTACTCACTGCGAGACTTGAAAAAATTCCGAGTTCGATCTGCCAGAAATATTTCAATGATGGGACGCAGCAGAGAAGAGGACTGCTGCAATCGGCTAAGAATTCCTTCGCAACTGACCACAGGCCACAGTAGGTCTATCCACCTTCAGAGCCGCAGCTGATATGTCGTTTCTATGCGAATCAACACCGTTGGAAGAAAGTTTAGGGTTTAATGAACACGAGTGGATTTCCTTAGCCCTCAGCACACGCATTACATTCAGCATCGTGCCCGTGTGATGCGGTAAGCTGACGGCAGGAAATCGAGTGACACAAATGCGCCAGCCCCCATACAATAGGTCTGTGGCATCTACGAACAATGAATCACATGGACCTTTCAATATTGCTCAATGAATAAGCTAACATGTGGGATTGGGGTTCTTACACTTTGCCTCCTCGTGCGGCTTCCGCATGTTCGTCGAGAGCAATGGGGCGCAGCTTGGCGAAAAGGACGAACGCCTCGATGCGACCAGTATTGGGGTGATTGTGAGGTACTTGACGATAAGCATCAAAGGCACGTACTTTATCCAGACTCGGCTAGTCTTGTGCATCCGTTCGACCCTTCTAGTTCACTACGCCGTTGGACAGTGACAGTATTCAGGTCATGTCACCCCATCTAGCAAGTCATGTCTAAGACTATTTGAGCTATTCGTTTGGGAGGGGTGAGACCCGATCGCTACTTCACCACAGCCGCGATGTGGGTTCGTCCGGGAGCAGCTACCGGCGGCTGAGTCCTCGGGGTAGGTTTTAAATCTTTGGCTACTACAAATCAAATTTGGAAAATCGGGCGGGTAGCAGCGGTGTCTAAAGAAATTTGTATAGAGCGCTTGCAGTCAAGTGTCAGAAGTAAACGGAGACGGCTGCGGCTCGAGGGAACAAGAATCATCCAGCAAGGCACTCGAAGCTCTGAGCACGAATGAGAGTCATGTTGCAGTCGTTCAAGTAAACACGCTATGAGCCCATGTTGTGACGATCCAAGGCTGGAGTCATGAGTGAGGCAGTTTGTTTGAAACCCTTGAACCTGTCCAATGTCGCCGTTCTAGTTCAGCACTGCACAGCTTAAAGACCATAGTCTTAGACAAATAGCACCCATCATCTATGCGTTGCACAATGTCGGGTGATGAATGGAAAAGAAACCGATCTATTGAGACATTCGGGTGAGGATATGCGCGTTGCAGTTGCACAAACCACACGGTAGCATGCTTGCGATGCGGCGATTGGATCAGCTGTGCGGAACGATTAGCAATGGTCGGCGTAGGAAGGGTTGCAATGTGCAATGAGAATCGAATGCAGCCCTTTTGGAACTTTCCCTTGTGGAGGTATTCCTTCCAAGTAACATTATATAATTGCTAGAGTCTGAATAGGTTGGAAGTGAATTTAATGGCCTTTATGTTCGGCAACGACATTGTGGTCTATCAGTTCAGCTCTTCCTATGGCGCCCTATTCTCAATAGACATTTGACGTTGATCACAAACATGAGACTGTATTTCACCTTCAGCATACTGGTGGCAATTGACAGTGTCAGCGCAGTTAGCAGCCAGTCGCCCTCCGTCACAACTGCTCTCAGCCCGACAACTGTGTCTACACAGCAGGCGGCCCCGACTAAATATACTCTACCTAACGAAGATAATGACCTTTCCTCAAGGGCAGAGGAAATCAAACTCAAGCAACAGGTAATCACCTATGGAGAACCATTGATAGGAGATACATCCTTCTTCCCCAATGGATCGTTGGGGACCCAGATTTCCTTGCGCGATCAGAGCTTGTGGTTGAAGGATTCGGAACATGTTGCTCGATTTGCGATCAATGAAAGTGCCGCGGCGCTTGAAGACATCACCAAGGTAGTCCAAATCATGTTCATTAATGCTAATAATCGTCTGGCTAACACCTATGTATCAAGCATGGTGGCCTCAAGCGTCTCGAGGACTTCAAAATCCTCTACGATGGTCACTGGTCAGGATCGGTCCCTGGCGGCATCGCCAAAGGCCAGTTCAGCAACTTTACATCGGACCTTTTGTTTGCTATGGAGCGCCTCTCAACCAATCCTTACATCATTCGCCGTCTGACCTACAGAAAGGACAAATTACCTTTCCCTCTTGACGATAAGACAGTCAGGGAGATTACTGGAACAACGCTCGACTCACTTCATAGGGACGGTCGTCTATTCTTGGCCGACCACAGCTATCAGAAAAAGTACTTCGCTCAACAAGGCCGATACTCAGCTGCGTGCCAAGCGCTGTTCTACCTTGACAAGCGCTCCGACCACTTTCTCCCCCTGGCCATCAAGACGAATGTCGGCGCTGACCTTACATACACACCCTTGGACACGACTAATGAGTGGCTGCTGGCCAAGATCATGTTCAACGTCAACGACTTCTTCCACGGCCAGGTCTATCATCTCCTTAATTCCCACGATGTTGCTGAGATTATCTACCTAGCTGCCCTTCGCACGCTCAGCAGCCGTCACCCTGTCCTCAACCTCATGGAACGACTCATGTATCAGGCTTATGCTATCCGACCCATAGGCGACAGAGTGCTCTTCAACCCAGGCGGTTTCTTTGACCAGAACTTTGCCTTTTCAAATGTGGCCGTACGCCAATTCGGTGCAGAGTTCTATCCGACTGTTGCCGGTCCGTTTCAAAGCAATTACTTTGAGGATAACCTGCGATTACGTGGTCTGTTACACTCGCCTTCTGGCCCGAAACTTCCTCATTTCCCCTTTTATGAAGATGGGAAAGAGATCATTGGAGTCATTCGGAAATTCATTGAAGCTTTCGTCGAGGCAACCTACAAGTCTGATCGAGTGCTGTCCAAAGATTGGGAGTTGCAAGCTTGGATTACCGAATCCAATGGTCCTGCAGAAGTCATCGACTTCCCATCAGCGCCGCTGAGAAGCAGGAAGCAGCTGGTTGATATTCTGTCCCACATGGCATGGTTGACAGGTGTTTCACACCATGTTCTGAATCAAGGTGAGCCCGTGACGGCGTCTGGCGTGCTACCACTTCATCCCCTTTCTCTGTACGCGCCTCTTCCTACGAAGAAGGGACGAATCGAAAACCTCCTCCCTTGGCTCCCCAACGAGCAAAAGTCGGTCGACCAGATTACTCTTCTCGCACGTTTCAACAGGCCTCAGGTTGTCGAGAAGAACCAGACTCTGCGATACATGTTCAACGCTGAAAGTCTTCTCGCCGGGACCAACAGGGCTGTTGCGGTGGCAAATGACCGGTTCATGAAAGACATGGGTAGTATCAGTAGGAGGATCAGCGGGCGGCGATTTGACAGCGAGGGTTTAAGTCAGGGCATGCCGTTTATCTGGACCGGCATGGACCCTGGCGTGATTCCATTCTACTTAAGTGTTTAGAAACTGTTCGCACACAATTGGCCAACTTCTATGGTACCTTGGATATGGGTCACGTAAACGATCGGGCATGGACAATGATGAGGTTCAATCCCTGCGAGGGGATGTGGGCAAACGTCAATAATTAGCAATCGGCAAGTACGATCCAGGTAAAGGGGACGCCGACAGCTTGAACAATACGACTCTAACCCATGGCACTATCTCCCCGACATCTGAACTAAAAGGGGATGAGCATAGGGACCCAACATACCTAAGCTTGTCAAACTGGTAAAAAGATCGATGCTCCAAGCACATTTATGAGTATTTCCTCGCCTCTGGATAACGATTTGAGGTGCCCTTCTCAACGTCATGAGCGCAAAATTCTCCAGTCTGATTCAAGCATTCAAAGGTGGAACCGTCGATCTTCGGGCTCTATCAGTACAGAGCATCAGCGGATTTAGACAGCTACTGAGGACTTAGGAATCGTTGAAATATGATGGCAGCTGCCGCCGCGCCGCGGACTTCGGGACGGAGAAGTTGTGACTTTCCTAACTAAGATGGCAAGAGATTCCGGTTCCCGAGTCACGCTTCTTGGCAAATACTGACGTAACAAGGAACGGAGATGCGTATGAGTGGGTGCTGTGACTGATTCCACTGGAACGATATGAGTCGTGTTGCTGTGAATTCGACTCTTGGCTCTGCCGGGCCCTTCTCGAAAATCCCCACCTTAGAGAAATGCTCTTGCGGGTTGGCAAGACGTGAGAACTTGTCGGAAATAAAATTTACCACTTACGGCTTTTCTCGCGGACTCCCAAGCTCCCTAGTAGGAATTATGGTATATGCAAAGTGATCATAGGCTCTGCAGGCCAAAAAGGACTGGCTGCCAATAGTTGGGAGGTGAAAAGGGTTCTTAAGGCTATTGATATCACACCGCGTCGGCTCAAATCCGACGCGCCACTCGGGGATTCTGCATAATACACTGCCGCTCCTCCAGGGGTCAGTCACCGGAAGTAGTCTGGACTCTGGAAAATTCGCAACCACTTCGTCAGCAGATTTTAACAAGCGAAGGCTCTAGTTGATGCACCTTCTAGATTGAAGAACTTCTGGTAACTGTCGAATGGGACAGCTTCCGATTTTTTCGACGCCCGCATTCCGGTCTTGGGTTGTAATCGATGCGGATCTTGCAATGGCATTTTGCCAAGGCGAAAATCTCCTATCCACACCCATGACAACATCGGCGACACCACATCAGTGATCTTTCGGCTCGGGTCAACCGCGGCTCTCATCGGTCGCCCAATGCCTCCACTGATTATGCTTGGTCGTCGGGTCAAGGTTGATTCAACGTGCAGTGACCAGGCGGACCGCCCCTGAACTTACGCGGCCAGGAGTCTTGGCGGCCCGCCGGGGATGGCGTCCGGGTGCGGCTTGGGGGCTTCGGACCCCGGAAGTCAACCGTAATATCTGGGCCGTGATTGGCGAATCGCCTTTTACTATGCGACGAACTGCCGAATGGGGAATTGATCAGAACGTGGTTCTTCGGGATGTGGGAGCGACCTGTGGTGCGAACCCGACGTCAGTGGAGAATTGGAGATCGTGAAAGGTGGACTGCAGCTTGGTTTGGCAGTTTCACGGATCTGAGCGTGATGAGAGGGGGGCAATGACTGACAAAAGAAACGTCCTGATGAGATGAACTTGTTTTCTGGATCCTCGTCAGGGGTCATACGGGACGAAGCAGGGGAGATGATATTTTTCGTCTATTCGTGGAAGGTGAAGAACAATCGAAAGAAAGGATGAACGTATAAATGAAGGATCAGCTCCCTCGTTGTTGATCAGTTCTAGCTTGATCAGCAGCTTAGATCTCGGTAGCTTGACTTTGACAATAGGTCCCAGACATTCTCTCGTTGAACAGTCTCTACAACACTCTTTCTCGACTTACACTCTCTTTCAACCTACAATATGCAGTTCCAGCTCCTTGCTCTCGCTACTGCGCTCCTCACGGGAGTGGCCGTTGCTCACCCGGGTCATGACCACACTCTGAGCCACTCAGAGATTGCCCGCCGTTCCAACCTCGCCAAGCGTTGCTCGGTGCAATCCGGCCAGTTCCAGGAGGTTCGCAGGAAGCGTCAGGCCGAGAAGCGCTCGCTCGTCAGCCGCTCTCTCGTTCAGCGCGACAGCAATGTCACTATTCATACTGAGGGTCCCCACTATAACACCCTTCAGAACGACACTTGCGTCCTGACGCCCGAGGTCACCAAGGGACCCTATGTCTGGCCTCAGTCTCAGACCCTGCGCCAGGATATGAGCGAAGATCAACCCGGTGTTCCTCTCTATCTGGATATTGGTGTTCTCAACGTCAATACCTGCGAAGTTATGAGCGACGTCTTAGTCGTAAGCACCCCTAATCCCAATCTGAATCATGATATTGAGCGCTGACCATCACCAGGACCTTTGGCACTGCAACGCTGTAAGTAAATTGAAAGGCTTCAACCCTCACACGTTGACTAACTGGATTGCCCATAGACCGGATCTTACAGCTCATTCACGGGCCACAGCCCCAACACTCCCTTCGAAGAGCTCCTCGACCAGCTCAACGTCACTATCGGCCCCGATCTGGACCTGCACACCGACGCCACCACCTGGCTCCGCGGCATCTGGCCTACCGACTCTAACGGCATCATGGAGATGAAGACCGTCTTCCCTGGTTTCTACGTCGAGCGCACCATTCACATCCACGCCCAGGTCCACACCGACTGGTCCGTCCGCAGCAACGGCACCGTTGTCGCTTCCAACATTGTCAGCACCGGCCAGCTCTTCTTCGACGAGCCCCTCAGCCAGCAGATCATGGCCCTTGAGCCCTACGTCAGCCACACCGAGATCAACCGCACCACCAACGACATTGATAGCATCTTTGCCGATGAGAGCAAGGGCAACTGGAACCCCAACATGGTTGTCGAGCCTCTCGACGGTGAGGATGTTACCAAGGGCATGCTCGCCTACATCACCATCGGTGTTGAGGCATAAATGGCGCAAGACGGACTATGAATTTTGTATCGGATATTCTAGAGAGGCCGGCGTCTGGGTTAGTTGATGCTTAGAAGTTCGGAGATGACAAATAGATCACCAAATTATTGGGAAATCCTCACCTTTGCCGACAATAAGACAAGCTACATATTTCTTTCACGTGAATGGAAATTGCACTTGAAAATATTGTACATTGGTATCGTTCATGTCATTATGTACTTTACGTACACGTCGTTGGTAGTCAACCTTCGCAATGCATGCTCATAGCAGCCTACTTCGTACTTATACCCCTTTAGCTGCGTTCACACTCTTTGCTGTTCAAAGGTTTTTGGGCTCCAATTGCTCCTCGGGAGCTTCAATGACGCGACGTCCACCCTTGGAACGTCGATCGGCGTCCAGGGATTGAGCAAACTTGGACCTCTCTCTAATGACGGGCCCCTTCCAGTAGATGAGATATACTGGAATGGTGACCATGAATGCCAGACAGGCAAGGACAGTGCTTGCATACTCAGTGTGTCGTGAACTTCCAATGTTCTCATACAGTGGAGTAGAGTACATCGCTGCAATGCCAGCAAGGAAGTCTCGTGCAAACCCATTACCACCGGTAGCAGACGCAGAGTAGGGTCCGTATGCGGCGATCATGTAATCGACCGTGCTCATGTAGATGGCAAAGTTGGCAATGGCGATGAGGCAGGAGAAGATCATGGGCGCGATCCAATGAGATTCGGGAGGTCCCATGGAGGTCCAAGCGAAGCCGAAGAGCCCAATGGTTTCGAGGGGTGCAAGATACAGCAACCACTTCAGGCGACGCTCAGGTGCGAGTGCATCAGGACCTTTCGCCTTGATGACACGATGGTCTCTGATGATCCATGGCACATAGGAGATGTAAGCGAGGATATAGCCGATATTGATTGGGATGAAAGCCCAGGCCTTTTGCAGAGTCCCGAAACCCCACTTGTTGAACACCGGCGTGAAACCTTCTTGGAAGGTGAAGATAAGGGCATCGGAGAAACCTGAAAGCAGAGAGCAGGAGAGAACGATGGGCTCTCTAAGGAACATCTCAAAGGGACGCATCCACGTGATGGCAAACTCGTGCATCGAAAGCCGAGGCTTCTTGACCTCGTTGGGTCCGTAGATATTGGTATCTTCGCCGGATGTGCGTCGCCGCTTTGCTTCCCTGTCCATGATTATGGTGGAGCGGCTCTCGGGCATGAAGAAGTGGACGGCTTGGACGACAATTCCGAAGATCATCTGAATCCACAGATTCCAGTACCACGGAAGAAACTTCTGAATAGGTCCTCCAGCGACAGGGCCGACGGAAGTTCCGAGAACGGAAGACAGAACGACGAAGAGGACTGCCCACTGCTGCTCCTCGGGCTGGTAGAGATCAGCAACCATGCCGAGAGTCACACTACCTCCAGCTGAGCTGAGACCGCCCTATTCAGATCAAGCATAGTCAGTTACTGGCTCACTAGCATAGAAAGATCTCTGACTTACTAGGGCTCGAGCGACAACCATGCTGCCGAAATTGGGAGCCAGTGCAGCAAGGATCTGCCATATGTTGACGAGGAATAGGGAGAATCTAGACTTAATGTTAGTTGTGAAAAGCTAGAGTGGCCTCGAAGTGCTTACTGCAAGATCTTCCATCGTCCGAACTCCTCACTCCAAGGAGCCCACAGCTCACATCCAAAAGCGTAGAGAACTAAGAAAGCACACTGTGCACTACGTGCCGCCTGCTCACTGACATGGAACTCCTCGCTGATAGGAGTAACAGCGCTAGGAAAGACACTAGTGTTGAAGTTCATAGACACCTGAACGGCAAAAATAGAGGAGAGAAGCATCCACTTTTTCCATGCCGGCCACGAGTATCCCAGCAGATGATAGCACTCATCCTCGGTGATGACACGCTTCCCATCGGGGGTGTACTCAGGCTGCTTGCTGCTCGTTGCCCTTGCTAGGTCTTCCTGCCTGCGCGTGCCTTCAGCCTCTTCGTCTCGGCCCAAGCCGCCTTCAAAGAAGCCCCCGGTTGGCGCATCCTCGGACTTTTCGTTGAGGGGCTGTTGTGGTTTATCGCCGTCAAAGCTCCGGTCGACGCGTGTTACGCTGCTGTCTCGGGTCGGAATCGTCTCATCGACGTTGCTTGGTCGCGAGGCCCGCGAATTATCACCAGGAGGCGCTGAAACCATGTTGAAAATACTAACTCTGACGAATAGCTGCCTCGACCCAGACGGTAGGTGTGACGATGCTTGCCTTTGACGTCAGATTTAGGTCAGAAGAACGCCAAAATATTGACCTGGTGTGCGTCTCGATCGTCGATTTGAATGTGATAGGTGTGCTGATAGAAATTCATAAAATTAGGAACAACCCATCTCAGAAGTCGATGGTGAATGCTATCTGGAACATCTGCCCCAGATCTCCCTTCCCCAGGTCTTCGGGCTTGTTTATCAACTTCCAGATTTTCCACACGGAAGGCAAAATTTCCTGCGTTTAGTTGGAGATATGACGCTATCCTGCCAAGAGTCTACTTGCGATGTTACTGCAGCGTGTCTATCGGTGAAAAAGAGGATCCGAGGTAAGATCCAGAAAAGTCTCCCTTTCTGAGTTGAGGTTCTCCCGCATCCTCCTCTAATTCGGCTTTCCGATCCAGCGGAGCCGAAACACTGGGAACCTTTCTGCCATTTTTCTGCTCATCTCTGGGGTCTCAATCGAAGAAACGGTCGCATATCTACTGCAACCTGACATCATCATCCCGTAGAAATACTCAGATTTGCGGGTCGGCGGTGGAAACAATGACGGAAATCTGGAGCCGGTGAAGCGCGGGCCACGCAGTTTATCGGCGATACTCGCGGTGTTGATGTGGGTTTCGTTCATGTCGCCTCAACCGAACTTGGAAATTGCACAATTGCGATGGTTTTCAGCTGTCCTAACACGGGCGAAATCCCAGGTCACTCTGATGTTGTGGGATGGAGACTGGCTTATGGTTGTTGTTCAAGCGTAACCGTCTAGCTGGAGACCATGCTGCGCGATGATGTATCCAGAGAGTGGGCACAGTTGGCTCACTCTAAGCGTCTAGTAGGGTGCTTTTGCCAACGTCTGAAACAATGCGATGAGTCTACAAGACTCAGGAATTAATCTTGCGTAGATAGGTCGAGCATCAACTGATCCTGTCTTATCTTTTCCACTCGAAAAGCCTTCCGGGATGCAAGAGCTAGTATACGAAGGGCCGGTCGCTCAAAGCGGGGCCGCGTCCGAAGGTGGGGCCGTGGTGAAGTCGGGTTTGTCCGTACCAAGTCAAGCCGAGTAAATACCGGATTTGGACCCTAGTCCCTTCACAAATGCGATTTAGAATGTGATTTACCTCACCTGTAATCGCGTTTGAACTCGTTGCGAAAGAAATTGGGGTGGTCAGAAAACATGTTATACAATATGGACAGCACGCAATTTTTGGCTGTGGTCGCGAGGGACCGAGACACCTGCAGGGTTTGCTGCAGAAGATACTTGGTCATTTCAGCAAACTGCCTCAGGTACGATACAGATACTCGAGATCTACGATGGACTGGGTTTACAGAGAGAACCCCCTGTCATGAAGTCGGAAACAGTACCTAAAGTACGCTGAGAATTTTGTATTGTCACCTGCCACACAGACGGTAGGCCTTCTTCTGTAGTCGGGATGCTCCGAAAAAGTGAAGTCAACCAAGCCAGTCACACAGTCTTGGAAAGTTGACTGGCAGCTGGGGCCTTGTGGCCGGGTCGGCAGAGGATGGGTCCAGAAAGCTTAACAATGCCGCACGCTACGGTACGGACTCATCATTCCAACCATCAACAGGCTAGACATTTGCGGTGTTTTCAACGACTTGTTGATGTAGAGGGCAGTGAAAAACTGTGAGACAATGTGCGTCAGTCTTGACATGTGAAAGACAAATACGGAAACAGGCTTCAAAGATAACAGCAACCACAGGTTCAGAAATGCCACTGCAATTGGTTGCGGATATAGCATTAGCCGGTGATAAGGGTTGTGATGCGCTGCGGGTGCCTTGCAGCGCATGGCGTGGTGGCAGCCGGAATCACCAAGACGTGGCGGCTCAAGAGAAGGGTTCCGGATCGACATCGAACACACATTGACAGAGCCGATAATTGCCTTTAAAGAACCAGAGGGGTAAGTTGGGCAAAAACTCATCTGTATTTGCTGGGATCGGAAAACGGATCCCGAAGCAAGATTGATTGAAGAGCCGGGGGCTCGTGGCTGAGAATTGCCTATTGTATCTAGATAGGAAATTTCAGTGCGAGACGAACAGTGGCGCAAGGGTCTGGACCCCTGTGAAAGTCTTGCAAGTGGAGCCCCGATGACGGATCTTGGAGGCGGAAACTGCCCGGTTCTATCTAAAATTCTAACTATCTTCTTCGAGGCATCGAAATGTTTGGTGTTCTTCAGCCCTACAGATAGACAAAAACAGCGACGGCGTAACGAAACGGACCCCCATGCCAAGATGTCTAAAAGTTTTCACTCCGTTGGGTTGAGATTTTCGGCACCACCCCGCCGGTGGCCCCCTCACGAGTCACACACTCACTTAGACCCGACTCTTAGATTTTACCCAACAGCGCTTGCTTGACAATCATTGGGAAAGGTTCAGTGACAAGGGACACTTGTGGTGTCCGGCGTGAGATTGGCGCGCAAACAAGCCTGTGGAAACCTGTGGAGCATCGCGACATGAGAATCGCCTGAGGTCTGGGAGATGAACATGACAAAAGTCTGCCATGTGGCAAACTCTGCAGCCACTGCCCAAGTGATAAGGGTTTATTAGGTTGATATCATTGCAACCCTTCTTTCTCATGGAGCGAGTCCATCGCGAACACTACATTGTTCACCGCGATTTCATGTATTTCAATATCGTGAGACGCTGGTGAATCTCGAAATCGTTTCCTGTGGTTGACGTCCTTCCACATAATCTCATTTTCCCTTCTAATCTTCACTCTTTTTTTGCAACAGAGACAACAAAAGATGCCCCACGACAAGCACTCTCTTGACCACCGGGTCTCAGCGGACGGTGACGGCGAGCCTCTCGGCCGCCGCACCTCGGCGCTTGAGGAAGCCCCGACTTTCGTTCCACCAGCGGGTTACCCAGGCATGCCCGTCACTCGCCGCCGAAGCACAGTCTCTCAAACCTCGCGCGTAACATTCGAGCACGACCAGTCAGAGGACCTCGATGAGCTTGTACGAAGCGCATCTGCCATCAGCCGGCACAGGTCAAGGGATAGGCGCGAGTCCAAAGACAACGTCTTTGAGTTGCCCGCCTTCCCCAAAGCCGCGAAACCCGGCCCCGTGAGCACCATTCGCGAAGTCCCTTCCCAGTTCACTACCCCTCAATCAACACGGCCGCCGTCCCCCGTCTCCGGCTTGAGCTCGGGCCCGCCCTCACCCGGAGGTGGGTCCGGTACCCAGACGCCCGCTGAGTACGAGATTGGCGCAGGGCAAGCCTACCCGGACGTCGGCACTGTCGCATCGTTCCGAGGAGCCATCGTGCTGCTCTGCACCTGCGGCGCTCAGCTCATGGACAACATCTTCATGACGGCCGTCAATATTGCGCTCCCCGCCATCCAGAAAGACTTCAAGGTTAAGAATGCAGAGCTGCAGTGGCTGATCTCGGCATACACCTTGACCTTTGGTGGCTTTCTTCTTCTCGCCGGCGTCTTTGCGGATCGCTTTGGTCGCAAGATGATCTTTTGCGCTGGGATGGCTACGCTGAGTGTATGGACAATCGCCAATGGTTTCGCGACCTCGTTCATTCAGCTGGCCATCTTCCGAGCTTTGCAGGGTATCGGCGCTGCCATGACCGTGCCTTCGGCTGTCGGCATCATCAGCAACTACTTCATCGCCAAAGACCGCACGCTTGCACTGACAATCTTTGGTGCTGCGGGTGCCGTTGGGTTCTGCCTGGGTCTTATCTTTGGAGGCTTCTTGACTTCGTCGCTTGGCTGGCGGTACATCTTCTACATCCCCACTGCCGTCACCAGTATTCTTGGCATTATCGGCTGGGGTCTTCTCCCCAAGGACAGACTTGAGGGCACCGCGAAGCCCAAACTCGATTTTGTTGGCGCTGGCCTGTCGACTGCTGGCCTCATCCTGCTCAGCTTCGTGCTTTCGAGTGGCGGTGAGTACGGATGGGGCAAGGCCTTCATCATCGCGCTGCTGGTCGTCAGTATCGCCATGATTGTTGCCTTCACCTACGTTGAGAAGAAGGTTGCCAACCCCATCATGCCGCTGTCGCTATGGAAGCTCGAGAACTTTGCTGCTCTTTGGATCGGTGGCTTCGGTAAGTCATACACCTTTCTTCAATACCAAGACCATGTGCTTACCCTTGAACAGTTTCATATGGAGGATATCAGACCACGATCTACTACACCACTCTCATCGCCCAAGAGGTCAACCAACTTAGCGCAGGTCAGACCGCCCTCCGGTTCCTCCCCATGGGCGCAACCGGCTTCATCTTCAGCCTCTCCATGTCCCGCATGCTCGAGATCTTCAACACTAAGCTCCTCCTTGTAATCGGCATGGCCATCTGCGCTATCGCGCCTATCCCTTCCGCGCTCATGCGACAAGACGACCTCAACTTCTGGAAGCACGTCTTTCCGACCACCGTCATGGGTGTGGCGGGCGTAACTATCGTCTACTGCACTATCACCGTCGTGCTGCTGGCTTCGGTGCCGGTCAACGTCAAGAGCCTTTGCGGCGGCATGATCAACACGGCTTTCCAGATTGGCAGCGGCGTCAGTCTCGCTTTGGCAGGTGCTGTTGTCCAGGCTGTTGACACTAGCAAGGGACATAGTGACCTGCGGCAGTACAACACTGGTTTGCTGTGCTGCTGTGGTCTCGCTGGCATCGGCATGATTGCTAGCGCGTTTGGAGTGAAGAACATTGGCAAGGCGGTGGGCGGGCCTGTGATGGCACATTAATGACTTGATGACGAACTCAAAGACAATAGAGGCATAGAAAAAGCGGCCATAACGGAACATCTGAATGTTTGCTAATAGACTGCTGCTTGTTTAGATGCATAATTTCGTATAGACTTAGACTTGGTTCAGTTAGCGATTATAGTATGAGGAAAGAGCGAATCCTTTTGCGGTAGCTGACTCTTGAGCGTTGAAATCTGAAAGAAGAGATCTTGATGGCTATGCGGAGTTATTACAATGTGTTTTTGTCTCGTGGAAATATACCTTTTGGGGTGCAAGGAGGATCACTTTGATTCTGAGGCGATTTCAAATGACTTAACTTACACAGGCAATTGGGCCATCTATGAATTAGGTACCAATAGAGCGATACTGTTTCGCGTAGCACCGATGTCATACTCAGATCGTGCCTATATGCCTACACTGGAAAATTTCATGATGCCTCAGAGACTGTTCGAAGATGTGACGGAAAGAGTTGGATCGATTCGCCGTTGCTTGCGTCAGCACGAAAGATCCGAATCCTTTCGGGTCCATCCCACTCGGCTCAAACAGCAACAGTGAACTGGTGAGCAACACAACCAGCACAATCCGAGTCTTCCATCGATCGTTAGAGCAGAGAAAAGGATGCGAAAAAACTTATGAAACCATTGCATATTCTGTAATCAAGCTATCATTCTCACAATAAGATCAACTTAGTATTGGCTTGGATCGTCCGGGCCGCCGTAAAGTTGCCGGTTGGGGCCTACCCTTGCACTCAATCAGGCCCCACTCGGCGTCCGTTTTCTTTCCGAAGTTGCTCGGAGCTTACGGATGTGGCAGAACACCGCATCCCGTGTGCTTGTTTCAGCGGCATCAATGGGTACTATATAATCTAATATTTGGATATAGGCTGACGCCTATCAATTGATCGAGTCAATTTCGTACTGACTCTCTCAGTACCACAATGGCGTTCGGAATTCCTTCAATCATGACAACCCTTGCTCCCTACCATATCATCTCTTACGGGACACTACTCGGCACGTCACTGTTTCAGACGTTTATCAACACCAAAATCTGCTATCTCGAACTTCCCAAGTCCGCATTCACTACATTACAGAAGCGCCTGTTTCCGATATACTTCCGATGCCAGGCACTTCTCCTTGTCTTGACAGTCCTCACGTTCCCCCCTCATGGCCCAACATCCTTGTTCAAGGTGAAGAGCAACTGGATCTCGCTCATGGTTGCGGGGGCAACATCCTTGGCGAACCTGCTCGTCTACGGGCCGAGGTCTAGACAGGCGATGATTGATCGCACGCATCAAGGTGAGCCCGGCCAACACGTTCTTACTACTATTCCTCTCTTCATATCTAACACCGAAAAGAAACACGCGATGCGAGACGTCCTGGGGATGTCGATGAACCGAGTCCAAACATGCTTGCTGTAAGAAGACGGTTTTCAAGAAACCACGCAATGAGCATTCACCTCAACTTCGTCGCGGTCATTGCGATGTTGTGGTACGGTTTCAGCCTGGCATCTCGCATCCACATTGAATTAGATTCATAAATGCGGCTTTGTGGGTACTACTGCTAGATTCAAGATTGATCTCCTTCCCTGTACCTCACCATCTCAGCATGTACACATGCGCCTTACGTAGACTTAACGCGTAGCCACGAATTAACGGTCTCTCAACTCCTTTGAAATGTTCCTAGTAGCTGGATGATTTGATCGTTAGCTGCGCAGACCTGGGGTAAACTGGGTGTTGCTAGTGCCCTAGAAAAAAGCACTGTAGCGCATGAGTAATGCTTGCCACAGCCGAGAGCCCGCGGCGTTTTGTGACTTGCTTCTCCACATTTCGGTAGTAAAATCTAGTCACCTCGGCTTCTTCAATCTTCAAGCTGGCGACGCCTCCGAAAGAACACACCGTTGACATCGAATAACCTCGCCGACTTGCGAATTCCGTGCGCTCATCCACCTGAGATTTGACTCTGGGATAATGAGCGGAAATTCCTCTTCGACTAGTGCTGTGAAGCCTGGGATTGATCGCGCTCGCGTGGCTTGCAAAGCGTGCAGGTC